AGACTCGAAGAAAATATAAGTTGCATTGCACCGATGCCTCATAGATAGGGGTTGTTACGCCCGAATTCATAATTTCCTGGCGTAAGAGTTTTTAGACTCGGAACAAAATGAATTTCATTGCACTAATGCCTCATAGATAGGAATTATTACACCAGAATTCATAATATCCTGACATACCACCTCGAGGATATGAAGCACGATATCCCACCTTCAATTTTTGGCAGAAACTTAAATGCATCAGTGCTCCATGTATAGAAATCATTGAGAAATATGTTAACGACGAAATAGTAGCTTCGTACAAACCTGCAGGGGCGAAAGAATCGGCGATGCGGCTATCGGCGTCGCTATGGGGGCGATCACATGCGCGAGTTTCGCTGTCGAGGCTGGCGTTTTGATTTCAGATATTAGGGAGAGAGCTTTTCCAGAAGAGGCGGGAGACCGTCCTGCTGGCAGTGCCAATCCAGCTGCAGATGACGGTAATGGTGCTGGCAGTGCTAATTCAGCTGCTGATGACGATGATGCTGCTGGCACCGCATCCGAAGTCAGCGTTGGTAGAGGTGACCGTTCAGGAGATGGCACCTAGAACAAATGCACACAGTTGAAAATTATGTGTTCTTGCGTATCAACATTGTTTTATTTAGATTCAATAAGATTCGTGAGCTGTAAAGGCAACACTAAGTCAGCGTTGTTTGGCTGAAGACGCTCACGCTTAATTAACACGTGATTATATTTAAAAAAGAAGAAATAGATATCTCGATTATATCAGGTAGATAGATATTGTTTAATTCATATTATTTAGTTTTAATGTTATATAGAAGTTCTGTAATGACAAAATACTGTAGGTAATTACCATAACAATTATGTTAAAGTTATTGACTGTGTTAATCTATGTATTTAAGAGCATGAATTAACTCAAAAATATTGCTGGACCAACATGTGATTTGCGTTAAATTAACACCATATTTTCAACAGTGCAGTCCGAATCAGAATCCAGACCGGATCGGAATTACTCACGAAAAAGTCGAGTCCAAACTGCACATTATTTATTCCGATAAAAATTATACCATAACGTTATCCGTAATACAACCTTCATTTTAAAAACATCACTTTAAGAAATTGATTCCATCGTTGTGACCTAACACACGTCCTGCATATGCTGTGCAAAATATGTGTTGCTCTCCCGATTTGAGTTATGGCTACCGAGCATCCACTGTGCGGCACTAAAGTGCAGTCCCCCACTTTTATACTCCTTTGAATGTCAATCAGTTACCTTTAGCAAAGTGGGTACTGGTGTTGGGTTAGGTAGCGGAGAAGGTTCCGGAGATTCGGCCGGGGAAGCTGGCGCGGCGCAGGCCGTACCCACCACAACTGCTAAAACAATCTACAAAAGTAATGTAATTTTATTATTTTCCTTGGATTCTTGGAAAAGACAACGAACCGATCGAATTTCGACTCTATGCACCAAGAAAAATTAACAACAAAAAACGCAAAGGAGGTAGAAGCTTTAAATCTTCGGTTTAAACCAACTGATTGAGCATTAAAAAAAAAGAGAGTGGCATGTTCACAGATTTTACGAACACCTCCCTTCCCCCTCCCTCGATTGTCCCGTTAACTAAGGGCGTTAGTGTACTCACGTATCCAAACATGACGATTGCGAAATTTCTGGCACGCACGGCTTGAAACGCACTTCTATTTCTGGTCGAGGATGGAGTCGATCCTCTCGTACTTATAGAGATCCTGGGGGTGTTGTAAAAAGAAAACTCGTCCTCGTTTGCTGCACCACCGGTCCCGTCCCTGCACATCGTTCGTTGTATTCATCCTCGACGTCAGGGGCGGGACTTGGCGCGTTGCTCTCCTCCATCTTCGCTCGTCGGTGGGATAGAAAATCTCTAGAAATTTTTATCGAACTTCCAACTATTTCTCGAGCATTCCAATGACGGTAAAAATCGTGGGAAACGGTGGATCGTCCAGCGAGACAACTCGCGGGATTTCGACGCGACGAGTAACGGAGGGGATTGACCTCATTTGACCCGAACGACATGAAGAATTTACTCAAAGTTTTAATGACCGAAAAACTCGTCGATATTTGACATTTCAAGTGATCACGGAGAGAAATATGGAAATAAGAAATATAAATAGAACTGGAGAGGAAAAAGAAGGTAAATAGTAAAGTGTAATTGTCTTGTATAATCGATCATTTTTAGATCTTCATTGTGTCTTCGATGGAGTGTTTTCAATACCTGATACGCTTGTAACGTCGTTTAAAACGTCTATCGATTCTTTTATATAAACGGCGTTATAGTGGCACCATTTGTCGTAGCTGGATTACGTTCTTTTTAACGAAGTCTGCTCCCTCTGATATAAAATACGAAGACATTGTTATGTCTTCTGTCTATGTAATGTCTATGTAACGTGCTACTCGACGGTTTGTCGTTGAAATAATAACCAGTCATTTATTTCATATTTGTTATTCGAAACTACTTTTCTATGTGTTAATAGGAGAGTTGGATGTTGCAGCATCTCTCCTATTTTTTGGTGTATCTCTCTTTTGGTGTAACTCTGTCAATTTATCGTATCCCGCCCTCCATGGGCACTGTTTCACAAATCCCTGAGTATTGGTTTTTCCCCCCACCCGCTGGAAATCTAACTTAATCGCGTCTGTTTCCAAATCTGGGGATAAACCAGATGGAAGAAATTATTGACCTATATACTCGACATGTTTGCGAAGATGTTTGAAGAAATACTTTGCAGGGGAGATAAAACATTCCTATCGAAAACCATGTGTCTAACTAACTCGATGGTATTTCAATAGTTGCAGTTGCCCTTGAAAGACGCAATGTAGAAAAACATTATCCGTGAGTTTCTGTGCAAAACTCGGGATCGGTAACCTCGCGAGAAGAGGCAAGGGCGTGCCTGTTTAGACGACAAAAATCGGGTTGACGATTATAACCGGTTCCTGGAACGACGCAAGTACGCGTACTCGTTCCTGTGTTCCGAGTTTCAGTAATTTTCCGACTAGCGTGCGTCTCGATCCTTGGAGTGTCTATCTTCATTCGCGAGTCGTTCTGCATTGCTCGACATTTTCCAATCATTTTCGAATCTCCTATTCTCCTTTCGAAATCCTCAACTTCGTACCAACCGCAGTTATCTTGTATACCCTCTATCAATAACGCTACACACATTCCCTTATCTTAGGTACACAGGACGTGCAAGAGGAGAATCAGCCAGGCGAACAAAATAATAAAATTTCATTTAAATCTATTGGTTATTGGGGTTAGAAAATAATTATCACTCAGTTATTCCCTTTTATAAGACACTCTTTATTTCGGCCAGAGAGTTAGGAGCTGCGATGTTGCTCTCAAGGAGACTACGATCGAGCTGAGTATTTCGACGTCAGTGGAAAAATGCAACGAAAACTATCGGTGACCTCTTGTATCAGAAAAAGGTCTGCTGACTTCCTCTTTCAGGTCATAAACTAATTCCAAAAGACCTTTCCCGGTGTTGGTTAATTTTTGACCGTCGGGGTCGTAGACTTTGAGTTGCCAAGGGCCCGAAGTATCCAACAAAGTCCATAAAATAAAAATCCTTTGTACCCTCCATTCATAACACCCCACAACTTCCCTTATCTTAGGTAACTAAAAACTATTCTTACAAGCTTGGAAGGAATAATACAGGACAGGACGTGGAAGAGGAGAATCAGCCAGTCGAACAAAATAATAAAATTTCACTTAAATCCTTAAAATAAAAATCCTTTGTACCCTCCATTCATAACACCAACCACCTTCCCCCTCGTTAGCAACCCAAAAACTCTGCTATAACTATGAAAAACTCTAACATCTCCAATTCTGCTTTCGAAACCCTCAGCTTCGGACCAACTGAAGTTATCAATTGTACCTTCTATCCACACCTTCCTTCCAAAAACTCCTCTTACAAGCTAGGAAGAAACGATACAGGACGGGACGTGCAAGAGGAGAATCAGACGGATGAAGGAAACAATAAAATACAGTTTTGAATTGAGCATGTATAGATTTTATTTTCGATGATTAACCGACAGCATCGAGTCGCGATTGATCATTACCGCGGTAGCGAGGTCGTCGTCAGGGGAAGAGGATCGACTAGAGCGGCTGGAGAGAGAAGAGTTGCCGGTCCATTTGTTGGTTCAGTATGTTGCGTATCCAGCGACGATGGGTCCGTGAGCGTAGACCGCTGCTGCTGGAGCAGCGGCGACGACGGGGGCAGTCTTCACCAAGGCGGCGGTGGCCACTGGAGCGACGCCGACGGGTGCAGCGTGAATGTAGGGGGCCGCGGCGATCAGGGGGCTCTTTACGCTGACTTTGTAGGTATTTGCGTAGCTGGTGGCGACGGGTACGCTGTGCGCTACCGCCAAAGGCGCCGCCGGGACGACAGGCGCTGCGTGAAGAGCAACCGGTGCGGCCAGGAATCCTGGTTTTGGTGCTGGTGCCGGAGCTGGTGCTGGTGCGGCTACAGCGCAGGCCAACAGAGCGAACAAGGCGACGAACTTGTACATGGTTGCTGATAGGGTTGACGTTTGTCTTCCTTTGACACGAAACTTGTACTTAGCAAGTGAGATTGCTGAGAGTCGAATGATGCTCAACCAGGTGAGCCGGTGCGCTTTTATTCCTCCACTCTGACCTCTCCCACCAGCGAAGCGTACTTGAATCGAGCGGGTGTACTTGAATCCGCTTCATTTCGCCACCACCGTTTCGTACCGTCCCCGATGGGGCCCGATTCGTTTCGTACGCTACGCAATCCGTCGCCGTTTACCACTTTTCCCTTCTACCATCGCCAGTGGACGCGTTCAGGGTCTCCGCGCGTTTCGCTAACATCACCGTGCGGGGAGTACATTGCCAAGGACTACGGATCCGATCCCAGACTCCTCGTTTGGATCCGCGTGCAACGTACTCGAAAGGCCCTTCGCCGCTCTTTTTACGGCACGCCTAGGTCATTGCCGACAGCACCGTTCCTACACTCCTCGGCAAAACGATGGGAATCGTCGACAGTGCTGGGCATTGATCGATTACAGCCACGATCGATCGATCGGAAATTTCGTTGATATTGAAGGTTGCTTGCAATTGACAGTTTAATTTATGGGAGCTTCGAATATCTGAATACTGGGAGCTGGAGAAAAAAAAGATTCTTTAAGGTAACGTATATTTAGGTCGTTCAAGATTCAGACGAGTCGGGTTATTAACAGACAGCGTTTAACCTTTGTTTCTTCTTCGACACGGGGGCCCTGCCCCCCTCAGCTTTAGACCAAACGCGCCTAATTTTTTTTTATTTTCAAACTTATCTAACCCTTTAAAGAATCTTAAAAATCCAAGTGTCACCCATGATTTTGTCAGAATTTAACCTTCGTATCTTCTTCGATTCGGGGGCCCTAAGACCCACAGCTTTAGACCAAACGCACCTAATTTTTATTTATTTTCAAACTTATCTAACCCTTTAAACAATCCGAAAAATCCAAATATCACCCATGGTTTTGTCCGGATTTATCCGTCGTATCTTCTTCGATTCGGGGACTCTAAGACCCACAGCTTTAGACCAAACGCGCCTAATTTTTTTTTTATTTTCAAACTTATCTAAACCTTTAAAGAATCTTAAAAATCCAAGTGTCACCCATGATTTTGTCAGAATTTAACCTTTGAATCTTCTTCGATTCGGGGACTCTAAGACCTACAGCTTTAGACCAAACGCGCCTAATTTTTTTTTATTTTCTAACTTATCTAAACCTTTAAAGAATATTAAAAATCCAAGTGTCACCCATGATTTTGTCAGAATTTAACCTTCGAATCTTCTTCGATTCGAGGGCCCTAAGTCCCACAGCTTCAAACCAAACGCATCTAATTTTGTTAGTGTCAAAGTAGCCTAACGCCTTAAACAATCCTAAAAATCCAGATGTCTCCCATGATTTTTGTCGTGGAGTGTACCAAGCATTGGGTACCCTGTCGGTTCGATCGAACATCCGGTGTCGTTCGCCTCCGCGACCTTTCGTCTTCGGTCAAACAGTCGAGTTCCACTCGTTTCAGTTTCGAGAACTTGGTCCATCGAAGACGAGCTAGCCACTGAATCGATCCGCCGATTACATAGCGTCTATAACGGGCGAACGACACTCGTATTTCGAGATAACTCCAGTTAGTTAACCGATGGACTGACTGTACGTTAATTAATAAACGCGATTCCTATCCGGTAATCCGGTGTGCATTTCTACGATAACGTAACGCCTTCTGTACTGATCGATGTTAATGCCGATACCGATAACGTTACGTTATACCTTGTGTTTACCTCAACCAACCACGCGATTGTGTAACAATTAGTAATCCATTTTAACGCCCAGTTTGGGATATCGCGACGCGTCGTGACGCATACCGACGCGTGTCGTCTAGGAAGGACACCGCTGGTGTGGCAAACCGAGGACGGCATTGTGACACCGTTTTGCGAAACTGAATACCTGATTTCATGCATGTGTAACGAATGCGCTCGGGTATTTTTCGCGTCGTTTCGTTCATTTTTCATTCCTGTCCCGCGGGAGGTGCAACTTTCAAACGTTCTCTATTCTCTGAGAAGACTTTTGAAGAACTTGGACCTAAAATGGCGCGGAGTGGAAGGTACGAGCGTACATTCAGTAACGACGATAGCGGCACGTTTCCTTGATATGTTTGCAAAATATCAAGTAAATCGGTCAAGTAGTTCTTGAGAAACGCGTTTAAAGTTTTACATGCAGCCAGCGACTGTCTGGACGCCGCGTCCTTCAAACATGCATAAATCGAGCAATTTTGAGACTCTTGCTTTAATATTTTACCGAAATGATCTTGAGCCACTGAACTGTCGAAATATTTGAAAGATGGGGAAATTGTTTTCGTACGCGGACAATTAAAAACAAAAAAAGAGACTAGCACATAGGTATTCCATAAATGTTACAGCAGACACTCTTTCCATTAATGAAGTCTTGCTGTTCGATCGGTAGGTGAAATCCTTCGTTATTTACATACATAGTTAACCGCTGTAATCTAACTCGTTCATATAATATTTATTATGACATTAATCACGGAGGTTATCAGGAATTCGCGATTATTTTGATACTGTCCCCCGCGATATCGTGTTATTTAACTTGTTGCTAGATTTAGCTATTTAGCTTGATTGAATTTGCGAAGCATAACGTTACAGAAGTCAGTCCCTCCGCTGACGGCGTCACGTCTATGGATCATTGCACCACTCCATCCATAATTTGTATTCAATTAATTGCTATAAACAACTTTATACGTATGCATAATGCTTATTACGACCTTAAGCTTGGCGATTATCAATGTATTTGCGATTATTTTGGTATTGTCCCCTGAGATAATCCATTATTATACTCGCAGCTAGATTTAGCTATCGATTTTCTGTATATTTATACTTCCATTGATTTATATGTCCCGAAATATGTTATTAAGCCCCGTAAATATCCGAAATGGTGCCCGACCAAACTAAGTGAATTAATTACTCGCAAGGAGCGTTCCCGTAATACTCGTGCGAACCCATATTACGCGGATCATCTTATCTTCTGTAATTAAACGATCGAAAAATTTGTACATCGACAAAACAATGTTTTATTTAAAAAAATCCTCGAAAACCCTCAAATATACGCAGACGCTGTACGCGGAGTCCAGAGGATCAAACAAAGAGTTCGATCTTTCCGAAACCAGTTCACCTCATCTAAATCTCTCGCCCCCTATCGCCTCTCTCTTTCTCTCTTCCAGCTGTCTTCTCGATCTTTCTTTTATTTGTCAACGATTGGCCGCGCATTTCGTAGCAAGGTCGCGTTTCGTACTTCACGTGTGCCCCACTCTCTACTCCCACGAACTCGAGGCGTCGGTGAACGTTCTCCAAGAGGATATATGATCTCGTTTTTTCGGCCCCTGCTTTTCCTGTATTCTTTGTTCGATCACGGCAACGCATAGAAATCACGATCGGGGGAATCGAGTGATCGTTGGAGGTCGATGGACGAAAAAAGAAGGTCCGGTTCAAGATCGACGATAGTCGTTAGCAACGCCCGAATCAGGAAGGCCTCGAACCGTCCGACATCGCGCGAACGCTTTCGTATTACGACACGAAACGCGGAAAGCCTATCGGGCCCCGCGTAAGGGAGGACGCATCGCTATAAAAGAGCTCGAAGACGTCGAGAATCGAATCACTCGAGGTTCGTATCGATCACGAACTCGACTCGCGCGTCTTCTGTTGTTCTGTGAGCACGGTGAAGCAAGGTTGAGGCATATAGAAGCGAAACACAGATTCCTGTGTCGTTGGTCTGACATACGTAAAGTCAAACATACGTATAGTTTATACGTTATATAGTTCTCCAAGGAGACGATCTATGGCGTCGTTCACGAACTGCGTCATTCTTAAAAAATTCCATCTAGAGTGACCATTTTACTTCGTTAATTCTAACAAGGATCAAGTCGCAATCTATATAATGAGATAAAAAGCCCTTTTGGAGTAAGTTTAAGAGAAGTGGTTGTGGTCGCTACCAGAGGCCATCTTCTCGCAGGGGATCTATATAGCAACTGTCGTTGCAATCATTCATTGCATTAATACATTTGTAAAATTTCATAACTCTTCCACTGACTCATTCGCAACCACGATCGTAACTTCTTCTTGGCTAGTCTCCAACGATTCTCTCTCGTTCGCAACATAACGTTGCTCTATGAATGATGACTATCGCGACGCAGTACCGTTCCAACACGCTATAGCACTGTATCCAGTAACAGAGAAGCATAAATAGATACTTCTCTCTTCATCTATGCATTATTTCACTAACCCCATCGCTTTTAATGTATTAGTTATGTTTCACATACAAAGAAACAGAACTACTATTATTAAATTTATTTTTCATCTATGCTTTATTACACCAACCCCATCGCTTTTAATTTATTAGTTATGTTTCACATACAAAGAAACAGAAGAAATATTATTAAATTTATTTTTCGTATTGACGAACGACCAGCAGGAGGTATGAAAAAATAACCAAAAACGTGGACATGTAGAACGAACCCCGCCTTTATTCGACCTTGATCTACTCTTCCATCCGTTACGAACTCGTAGAGGTAACTCTTTCTTTTTGGCCTACAAAAAACAAAAAGACCATAGTCTTCTCGCGTTACGCCTCCGCGCTTTCGAACTTTATTATCCATCTGCGCGTCGTGACTCGAATGAGAAGCATTGTTCGAGTACTTTTCGAATAGTTTATATTTCACCGGAGCTTTGTCCAAAGGAGACACAAACGATGACGTGAAACGATGAATGAACCATAATGGAATTCGGAGCAATATCATCTCCATTGTTCGATCGCTTTGTGTATTGCGACAGAGTATTTTTGTTCTCAGTTCCTGCGGCCGTCGCGTCTGTTGAAAATGCTGTAACAGCGAATCATCGTCGTATTTTCCTGTTACCACCTTGTCGAGCTCGTATTAAAGATAAGAATCTGCTACTTTCACCGCTCCACGGGCGGGATTAATTATCTCGCGTTCT